ACTGAGATAATTCTTGTGTCTCTTTATTTTGTCTCTGAAATTATGTTTGTTTCTCTATCAGAAGAACTAATAAAGGTGATGATTTAGAAACATGGTTTTAAGAGATACAGTAAATGTCCACTTTGTTAACTCCAAATCCCTATAAAATAAATATAACTCCGGGTGTTCATAGTGTAAAAATACTTTACGTACACCCAGTACATGTATATCATTTTCTTGGCTTTATAGAATTTTACACTATTCTTTTATTTTTTTGGAATATAGTTCTGCCATTTTATAAATTAACGTCTAATCAATCAGGTCCCTTTTAACAACAAAGCCACTATACTGGCATTTTCACTTGAACTTGTAAGGACCTAAATTAGATTTCATGTCTTACTTCAATGACTCAGATTGACAAATTATAAGATGACACACTCAATAAATATAAAATGAAATGAGGCTAATTGATGTAACTTAAATAGATAAAAACATCCATGTTCTAACAAAACCAGAATCAATGGCGATTTCTCTAACATCCGTTCGACAAAATATTCATGGCCTTTAACTTGAAACCAAAGTTTTAACATTCTTCAACTGTGCAAATAAAAATCATCCAAAAGAATAGTTTCAAATATCAGAGAATATATTGGTTTTTCATAAAGCATCTGGTGAATTGCCTATTATCGATTAGTTCACTGTTACCATAGCAACAGTGATGTCATAAGGAAGTAGACCTGGGTATATGGGTAGATTTATCGAGTTCGTTTCTGAGAACAAATCTAAGTAATTTATTTGATTAGGTACTTCTCAAGATGTACTTAAAAACCTTGAGAACAATTTGTTAGATATAAGTACCACATATTGTTAATAATCTATTGTATGCTATTATATATTAAGTTCTGTTTTTTGAAAACTAACATTATAAATGATTTCAGTTTGTCCATTTATTTTATCCCTTCTCCAAATATGGACTTAGTTAAGTACTATTACCTCGCAGTAATTTATCAATGTCAGATATTTGTTTGGTTTCTTTAAACAAGTTATTTTATTGTTCGATGGATATCTTGTAAAACTTTCAAATGACCTTGAATCTGATAAAACCTTTAAGAATTTATTTGAGACTTTTCTGACTACTTATTGTCTATCCAACCTGAAGTGGTTGGATAGGAAGATGTTCACATTTCAAGTATTTTTTTATCAAGGAAATCAAATGGAACCAAGGTGTTCACATTGACAGGTGTTCACAAGAGAGAGATGTTCATATATATAGGTTTCACTGGTTAACCATATCCTATTCAGCAAATGTGAAAACACCCACCCGTGCCACTAATTAGAAAGCATATTGTTTACTAAAAATCTTATACAGTTTGGAACAAAATAAATGACATGTGGATTTTTTATCACCATATCCAAACCATGGTGTTTTGAAAGCCCTATAGTCTTAAATATTGTCTAGATACATATCCCTTAAAATAAAAAATTGTATATTTTTTTATTTACATTTGTATTCTCTCATCCACTGATGTATGAACTCTTGAAAATTCTCTTATTTTTAACATGGGAAATCCTCACTTCAGCAAATCCATTTGTCATTATTTTTGTTCCAAACTGTAGTATCATTTACATATTATATGTATTTATTAGAATTAGCACCCCTTCACTTTACTCACATTACTTACAGAGCTGTAAGGTTTGTTATACATCTCTTAAAAAACAAAAATATGAGATGTTTGTGAATCAGAAGGCTATAAACATTAATACTGTAAGTCTTATCTAATCCTTAAAATACCCCACCCCCACAGTGTTCTCCCCAGGATTTTTCTCAAGTGGGTGCAAAAATTTAGACCGAAATTGGTCAAAATATGCCCAGTTTTGGAGATCAGGGGATAGCTGGGAAACATTTTGAAATCATGCACTAAATGTATATTGATTACGCAGTAAAGCCTGGCTAATCCGAATGCCACTGGGCCAACCCATTAGTGTTTGGACTTCCAGGTGCTCACATTTTTTTTTATTTAACATGGAAGTCTATGGCAGAATTAAAAAATAGGACTGAAATGTTCACAATTGAGAGGTGTTTAGATGAGCGAGGTGTACGGATGTTCTGGTTTAACTACATCAGCAAAGTAATTATTCATTTGTTCGTTACATATTAACACTGAGTCATGTGGAAAATAGCAAAATATTGACATTAGATCAGTGATCTTAGCGACAGTATACTGTTACGGTAGGTTGGCTTAATTTGGCGATGTTGCCATTTTTGGCATATTGGCGGCTATTTAATTTGGCGGATATGCAAAAAATGTTAAACCTACGCGCTGTTTGCAAACATGGGCATGTTTGACTATGTTCATTTTTTGTTTTGAGGACCACTGGCGATATTCACCATGTTTGTACATTTTTGTGAGATCATCCTTTACATTTTGCACCTCGATCGATGCTGCTACTATACCGCCCCTTCCCTTTCTAGTTTTCCCTGAGTATTAATGAGTGACTGACCAGTTCTGAGCCAATTTATGAGAGACATTTTTCATATTTTTGGAAAAAAACTAAACCGGAAGTGACCTAATTAACTGGACGAAATACCCGAGATAATTCCCAGGTATTCATTCTAAATTTTGGTGAAGATTTATATTGGCGAATTTTTCAATTCCACCAAATTCGCCAAATTAAAGCGGGCGCCAAATTAACCCAATCTACAGTATTAAGGATAAATTTACTTTTTCTTCTTGATGATTAGAGCATACATGATGCAATTTTATCAATAATAGTTGACCTGCTAAGCACAATGCTGGTACATATTGTAATATATACTGTACATATTGTAATATATACTGTACATATTGTAATATATACTGTATATATTATATACTGTACATATTATAATATATACTGCATATATTGTAATATATACTGTACATATTGTAATATATACTGCACATATTGTAATATACACTTAAGTCTATATCCAGATTTCTTTATTATCAAAGATCCAATGTGAACACTTTTTCACTTTTCATTCCCAGTTATAGTTGACATATTGTTTTTGTCTGTGGATGGCACTCAACATTGGGTGGTTGGTGCTCGGTGGTGTTTGGCATTTGGCATCTGTAACAAATAGAAGGTGGTTACATTTTACATGTTAATATCTTGCTTAATTTGCCATGGATGTCCATGTTCAAAAACCTTGAAATATGAACACCTGCCAATCTGAACACTTTTGGCGGGTCCAAGGCTGTACTATATAGACTAGCCAGGTTTTATTAGTATATATCTTAACCTGATATAAGGTTACACCTTACACTCTTATCAATGTACTTGTTAAACTAATCATTTATCTTATTCGTACGTCATCCGTTACATCGTCATAGCAACATGCAATAACTATCATCTATATCATTTGTGGATATTACTTTGATAGATAATTGTATCTTTTAGAATTATCTAGTCCATTGCTCAATTTATCTTATTGCTTAGAGCTACATATAATAGATAAGCACCAAAAATCCAGTGGTTAAAATTTTTCTCAGAGTTCAGAGTTCGCAGAAAATGAAGCTCATTTGACGTGTAAAGATGTGAGATGAAAAATATATTCTGACTTATTCTTAGGATCAATTTCAATATGTTACTTATCTTCTGTCTGTGTCACAAACATATATCTATATATCTTTTAATTTATAGTATTACATATTAGCTTACATCGGCATTCTTAAGCACAAAAATCACAAAAATCTATATTGGTAATGTTATATATTTTCTTCTAATGACTCTAAACAATAGGTACTTTATGTATCAAACACAATTACATAAAACAGGGGCGTAGCCAGGTTTCAGTCAGGGGGAGGGGATGCAATTGTGGCATTAACAAGCCAAAACAAGATTTATTTTAAATTTAGCTAGAAGCTTCAAATAAAAAGCATTTTAAAGCTCTTTTCTTCTATTTCATGGATATTGGTTATGGGGGGGGGGGGGGTGATTGGACCCCCTGGCTACGCCTATGTAAATGAGATGGATAATATACAACCATAACTTAATTGTTAGGTTAAAAAAATGGTCACAGTAAAAAGTCAAAAGTAAAAACCTGAAGGTGATGTTGTCTTATGTCTCATTGTAAAGAATCCCTCTAGACATTAAAACATTCTCCCTTGTGCTATAATATACTGATTTATCTTGAAATAATTACTGTGTATGTCTTGACTCTGTGAAATATTACTCAGTACCTCTCATTTCATACAAGATCCAATCTTGTAGTCTCACAGATGATTCTTGATTTAAAGATCGTAGAATCGTAAATTTTCTCACTTGAGGAGTCGATGCCGTGATAGAAAACAATTTTGTTGATTATAACAAAGTTTTACGTTTGTAGATCATTTCCAATTGATCAGAAACTGTCTTTTCCATTAAGAAAAGTCCAAATGCAAACGGATCATGCAAACGGATCTAGAGATTGGCTAATAAATAATATCTGAGTTTTAGTCCTTATATCAGAAATCTCATTCTCAAAAGTGTGTTTTAGATTTGTCTTATATGTGTATTTAGTCTTGCATTGAGCCCTTGTACCATCATTCTCTTGAGCCTGTATTGATGAATAGAGATATAAGGGCTTGATGTAATACTATTCTAACCTTACATTTTAGTACATGATCAAAGATTGCTTTTGCTTGTTATTTAACTAATGAATAAAATGCTGCCATTTTCATTAATTTGATTTTGCTTACATCCTTGCTTTTAAAATCATATACATCCCCAATCTGCACTCACAGTACCATATGGTACATTAAGAGTATGGTACAGTGCTGTTTGAGTTTGGTACCGCACAGTATTCATGGTACCGTATGGTACTGTTTTAGCCATATGGCAAAAAAGTATGTTACTATTGGCAAAATGCTACTGTATAAAATTGGAGATTGGCTGTGTATACTGGGTATTTAATGAATAAATGAATATAGTAATTTGCATGCCTAATTCTTTTTGCTGGTGATGGTTTTCTTAACACGCTTAACATTTTCTCTACACAGGTTTGGAGGAGGAAGTATCCCAGCCTTTACAACCAGGTAACCCTCCAATAAGGGCACGTTGTCCCCCTGTGAAGCAATGTCACCAGTCATTCCGTCACCGCTGTAACCGCCCTCCTCAATGTGGCGCTTGCTTCAAAGGCTACCAAGAGGTGGAGGGACATTGTGTAAGGCTGCCAGAAGGTATGCACCCGTAGATGTTGTCATTTGCTTGTTTCTTGTTTGTTTGTTTGTTTGTGCATTTTGGTGTTCTATTATGTCAACGCATCAGTGTGTTAGCATCAGTATGTGTAACAATTGTTAAACTTTTCGAGAGAGATGGAATGTTACATAGATGGTAATGGGAATTAATCTACAGTTCATGGATAACAATGTTACTGCGAAATATAAATAAATGAATTTGTCAGTGTCTGTTATAAGTGTTACAGTCTGCTTGATATATGGGTACAAATTGAATGCTAATGAAGAATTTGAAGGAATTAATCTACCAGGTACTGAATACCAATGTTACTTCAGAATATATTGTAAATAACTTAGTCATTGACTTCATTTAAGAACCCTAAAGGGAATGTCTGCTCTTTGTAGAGCTTATGACTGCAATTTGATAAGCGAGAATAGTCTATACTGTATTCTCAATAAGAAATAAAGCTTCAAAATGTGTCAAAAATGATGTATTCAATTGTTTGCAGCATCTGGGGCTTTATACTGAATCCTGTATGAAAACTTGAAATAATTGTATTTATTGTAGTCATTTTTGTATTTATTGTAGTCATTTGTAACATTGCATTGTGAAGATTGATTGATTTAACAAATGAGTCATCAAGTTAGTATCATCTATCACCAGATGTCAAAGTTGCAAAATTTCTTTTTTCCAAGATGAAAAAATCAAATCTTTTCAAAGTTAGATTATTGAAAGAATTAATTTATTAAAGGTGGCAGCTAATTGTTTGTAAATGTAAAAAGTAGTTTAATTTAACAAAATGAAAAAGCCAAATAAAACTTTATCCTTGACATTAACATTGTATTCTTAACAAGAGCTTTGTTTCATACATACTCTCAATAAGAGCTAATTCTTTGATCATTGATCTGGTCGATTTCTATCCCGAATGCATAGTGATGTACCATTCAATCCTACAGTCATATGAAATGAGGGTATGAGGGAAGATGAATATGTAATTTCCTTTTCTACTACAAGTGGCGACATTCATTATCAGGATTGTTAAATTGATCTTGTCTATTTCCAACCAGAATGAGTAGTGATAGGGGTTAGCTGGACCCCCAAACCCTCCTCTGGGTCTATGAGATCAATGGTGAATATGTTGTCAGGAGATTTTCTGGCTGCAAGTCAAGACGTTCAGAATCAGGACTGTAAAATCAACTGTAATATTAAGCGGATAGGGAAGCTTACTGATGAACATCTAGAGGGTAGGGCGACATCGATCTTCAATGAATTATGTGGATTGAGTCATATTAAGAAATAAGTTCCTGCAAGGATTTAACACTGTCCGCTTTAAAGGGCTTTAGATACATGGAAATCACTGTTAAATCCCCGGAAAGTAATATGATCTTTTTCTTCGATTTGCTGTCAACAATTGATTATAATTCCCGTTTGTTGAGAAACCCTTTCTATCTTATCGCAAATGATGAGAAAATGTAGTCATGATAAAATGATTAATTTTTTTGCTGAATATTAATTTTTTTGCTGAATATGTTGTGTTGTTTAATCAGCTGGATCACATAAGTGTATGATACTCAAATACAGTAAAAAACAATCAGAATAGCTCGGTTAATAACGATCATCCTTAAGTACAAGCTCAAGTCAGGGACTTTGATGTTAAATGAACCTCAGAACACCTGGCAAGTAGAACACCTTAGAGGTACAAATGGTATTCCATTTAATCTGTTAATAGGTTTGCTGTCTATGTATGACTGTTTAACATATGTTTGATTGACATATTATTCATTTTTTAGGATTTAAGAAGAGATTGTTCATTTTGCATTAATATTTCCACTGAATCATTATAACTTCATCACGGTGTGAAAGAAATTATGGTCCCCCGGGGATTATGGTCCCCTTTCTTAACGGCCCTTGCTGGCCCTGATTGCGTATAAGATAATGAGGGAAAGAGTTGTATTGAGGTCACCATATAAATCAATGGAGAGTAGGACCATAATTTGATATTACATCCTACCCTTTTACAACGGTATTACATACAGCATTGTATGTTATATACAGCTGTGTCTGAATGCTTTGTAATTTATTTCATTTCGAAGACTTTCACATTGTGAATGAACCATGTTGTGTTGTCTTCGCGCAATAATAACCATGTTTACCGAGTCCAGGGTTTTACAGGAATAATTGTAACACATTATTAATTGAAGTCTTATTTACAGTTTTATTTCAAACATTCAATGCACTCAATATCCGTCATATGATAATTAGTCCATTGTTTATCAACAAACTTTTCATATTGAGATATGTAGTTATCAGGTCAACACCTATGTTGAAATAACTGTGGATAGGTTGCCTCCTTTGAAATATTTGCTTTTTCAATACCCTTTGCATTCGTTTGACTTCACTTCTTAAAAGAGAGCTTCGTCTTCACTCTTTCAAACTAAAATAAACCTGTGAACTCACCGCGCCAATCAGTGTTCGTCGGCCAAATTTGACCGACGTTCTATATATGGTCAGTCCTTCTGACGTCGTCGTTGAGCCCGGAATTGACCAATGACACGCGCATATTTAATTAGAACGCATTTGGCGTATGTTTCTTCAAGCTCGCTGATTGGTGGAAGAAAGGTCAGCGCGTAGGTCAAAAGTGATTTATTACCCAAACTGTCACCGGTACCCGTCGTGGGGGTCGGGCTACTAAACTGTAATATAGTCTCTACTTGGCAGAGTGTAGTTTAACTAGACTCTGCACGCAGGGTACTTTTTCAAAAACACTTTCACGAATTCTATCTTTCTCCAATTTAGTCATGTCAGTTGGCACTTAGTTTACTTGTCAAAACACCTATGTTGAAATAACTGTGGAACGGTTGCCTCATTTGAAATATTTGCTTTTTCAAAAACACTTTCACGAATTCTATTTTTCTCCGATTTAGTCATGTCAGTTGGCACTTAGTTTACTTGTCAAAAGCATAAGAAACTTTTATTTACAGCACCATTTAAAAAAAGTAGACAAAACAAGTTACTCTCTGTCCCCCCCTGCCCTACTGTGGCGCACACACATTGTTTTAAGAAACTTTCTGACTAAAAGCTATTTTTGAAAAAATGTATCAAGAGAAAAACAGGTCTATTGTAGTAAAAATATATATTTTGCTTCATAAACACATCTAGAAAAATTACTTCTTTAATTGAAAGACAGGTTGAAAGATGACATCAATTTCTACTAAAATCATGAGTCATAAGATCCGCTCATTATTATTGATCCAAATGAAAACATCATAACATGTCTACAGTATTTCATACTCTAGCAAAAGAAGGCAAACAGCAGCTTACTAAGTCTTGTTATCTAAAAATAATTTAAACGAGTGTTGCCATGGCAGTGATTGCCATGTTTAACATCCAAGGGAAAAATGTTATTGTTTAAAATTGCAGTACTTCGATAAACATGCTAATTATGATAATAGAAATAATTAACGGTAACTAACGACAGTTTCATAATTTGACAGGTTGCTATACATAAACTCTATATGAAAAACATAAATATTTTTGTTGATTTCATAATTTCTTCAGGGAATCAGTTTGATGCATGCATTATTAAATGAAAAGGCCATTTCAAGAAGTCGAGGAATTTTCAAAGCCTGTGTAATTGATGGATGGCTCATTTGAAAAGTAATGAGAAAATACATATTAAAAAGTAAAAATAAAGCGATGAAAAATAACTTGCCTTACGTAAAACAAAGTTATAAAACAGAATTCTACACATCCTTGTTCTTTTTTGTTTTTTTAAAAAAAATCATTATTTAAAAGAAAAAAGAGTCAATGAGAAATAATTAATTAACAAAGTTATAAAACAGAATCCAAAGTGACCTTGTTTTTAAAAAACATTATTAATATTATGACATCAGTCAACCCATCTGAAAAGTATTTCATAAATGCTGCTATATATATTGCAAGGTTGTTGGTAAAATGGCATTCTGATACTCATAGCATCTTTCTGTTTCACCTGAAACATGCTTTGATATTATGAGGCATATTCTGTGATCTGAGCACATTAGATGGGAAGAGTTACAACTGTCAATAAATGTAATGGTTATCATGTAATAATATACCTTTATGTCAATACATTAGATAATAGGCATTGTATTTAACAGCAGATATTAGAACAGGCACAGGTACACAAGTTTCATGACCCCAATTAGATGAATGCAGAGCTGTCAAGTGTCCCGCGAATGGCGGGATTATCCCGCGAATTTGATCAAAATTAGGCTAATTCGCGTGTCGTAATGTCCCGCGAAGTCCCGCAAATGTGGCTTTGACCTCCGCGAATTTCCGAAATTGTTGCAATCTCCTATATTGTGATTATCTTGTCTTATATAAGAAGCTAAGTTTTTGCACTTTTGAGGAGTAAAGTTTACCTAATTTCAAGTACCTAGCATGCTGTTGTTTGGTATCAAAATAAAGAGGAAGGGTTCAAATTTCATTTTAATTACGAAAATAGGGATGTACGTAGGTCACAAATAAATCCAACGTTGGCCTTTTTACTACTCGTGTGGCCTTCATCTCAGAACTGAGCAAATGTTAGCAAACGCGAGTTACAATAAATGGACGCTGATATCTAGAAAGGGTTTGTAGAGAAAAACGGGTACCGGGTAGTAAATCCTCCATGCTGGGTTCAAACTTGGTACCCGGTACCCGGTCAAAAAAACGGGTCCCCAAAAACGAAAAATACGAATATATAACATAATTAGATTATGAGAAAACGCACCCTCTCCTGGCTACGCCTATGACATTGTAAGACATAACAATTTACAATTCAGTCGACATTTTGTCGAAAATTGGAATAACTTAAATATGATTAATAATCAAATTTTTACACGATGCATCATGTAAATTAACACACGTCACCTTTCTGCTAAAGCAACGATAGCTTTTTACAGATTTAAATCATAATCAAAACAATTCACGTACCAACATACGAACTATTGAAAATAGAGTAAGATTTATCTTGTTTTTC